TTTTAATTAATTTAAATGAAAAAAATAAAATTTATGTAACATCCTTATTCATATTCAATTTCTAAATAAGAGTTAGAATGTCACATACTGATTTACTAACAATCACTAGAAGTCATTTATTCAAATTACAATTAATCATTTATTGATTTATTGAGTAATATCAGTTTGTATTTTTTTAAATTAATTTCGATTTCAACCTACAACTTAGCAATTAATACCTAAATAAAAAATACATAACTATCTAAATTCAACCTTAACCGGTTTCTCCATTTTTTATTGTTTACTAGATATTATACCTGTAATTCATTTAATTAATTTCAACACTAATATAACTATTCACCATTTATTTTAATAACATAAACTAGTTTATAAACTATTACAACTAAGTCCAAACTAGTTTATGACTATCCATTACTAACATATACATGCCAACTAGTAAAATTAAAATACATCAGATAGATGTCATTAATGATATTGTAGATATACTCATCAACAAGTAGGATGCCAAATACTCCTTACTCTGATTCCTATTTTTTACCTACACGTGAAAATCATCACATGGTAAGTATACACTTAGTGAGACAATCATAGTAATAGTCAATGCAATGCAATACAACACATAAATATAAATAAATAACAATACTTAATTCATTATGATCACTTTACCTGCATTTCGGTTATGTTACCATATATTAACATGATATAACAACATATAAAATTTCTTACTAATATACCTGCCATTCATTCCAAAAGCTTATAAACTTATTCATCTGTTTATCATTTATTAATCAATAAATCATAGCCCAAATTTAATTCTATGAGAACTTTGGGTATACGAGTCAAAATATGCACCGAAGTGCTAATACACATAAGGTTGTGCCCACCATATACACTAAGTGTCATTTATCTACACTATAGTGCTAAATCAAATATACAGCCTGTTATTAGACTCTATGGCATGCCAACTATACCACTATCCCTCAATGACATACTTGAGCAAATAGTCTATATTTATTCCATCCATGACAATGTATATCAAAACAATTCAACATTGACCAGTTCATACCCAAAATAACATTCATGATAAACATCATATATAAACTAGTGATTTATGCATTTATATTCAACTTTTGACATATTTAGAACATGTCAAATATATGATAAATGACAAAAATATCATATCAATATAAACAATGTTGACTCATCGCAAGTCTTCATAATGATCCATATATCACATTATGTATATATTGAACTCACCTTGACACTTTTTATACAAGTCAAAATATAAGCATCATTAAGCTTTAAGTTTGATCCACTTCCTTTTCTTTGTTGCTAATTTGATCCGGTTTTGATTGATGTTTATAAATACATCAAACATATACCACAAATAATCAAAAGCAAATGTTAGTATCCTTCCAACCCATGCGCATGTAGTGTTGGAAATTTTTTTAAAAATTCATTCCAATTCAACAGTGTAATTACAATGTTTCTACACTTCATTTTCACCTTAACTTACTTGAATTTACCTTTAAAACCACAATTTCACAACAATTTCACACTTCAAGTCTAAATCCAATGATTTAATCACCAAATTATTCCTTGAAAGAAAACAACTATCATAAATAAATCACTTGATTTTTTCCAAAAATTTATCCTTAAGAAATCCATATGATAGAATATAATCCATCATCATCAAAGTTTATTTCAAGCTCAAAAAAAAAAAAAAAAAAAAAAAAAAAAACACATTTAAGCATGTATTGAATTCTCTACCATAACCCTCATCAATTTCAAGTTTAAAATATAATTCTTAAACTTCTCCTAAAGTGCCATTTTGGTCACTATTAGGATTCAACCATTCTTCCCCATTTCTAAGCTCGAATAAACATGCTAAGACATACAACATAATGTTCTCATCATATCTAATATGAAAATCAATTCAAAACATCAACCCCTTAACTTTTATGTTTTTTGAATTGATCCATAAAAGAAAAATAATGGATTTTTGATCTTTTGAAGTATGAAATCAACATCACAACACCTATCTCATCATTTTCAAGCCTTGAAACATCAAATTTCATCATCCCTTTATCCACCCTTTTCATAAATTTAGGGTTATAAGCATGAACAACATGAACAAATGGTATCAAATGAAAAAGAATTCAATGAAGAATAAAATTGTATTCATGTCTTAATCTTAAATCTAACCAAAAAGTCTTGAAAATCAAATTCAAAATTTACTTTGGTGTTTTAGGAAGGTCACGGCAGCAGTAAGGGATTTCAAGATTTTTCTTGAATGAATTTTCCTTTTATTTTAGTTTATTATTTTTGGATTTTATAACTGTAGATACTCGATTTATCCGGGGTGTTTTTTGAGTTTTATTTGGGTTTTTATATTTTAGTAATTATATTTATATTAGTTAGATTTATTAATTAATATTGATTAATTAAATAAATTATTAGGGTATTTATATGTTACACGCATTATAATTATATGGAGTATAAATAAATAACTAATATTAAATATATATGTATATCAATTGGGCTTTAACAAAATCTAATTAAATATTTTATATTTTACAAGCTCATATCAGTTACAAGCTCATATCAGTTACAAACAATCCAACCCGTGCCCAATTGGTGGGAGCCCAAACACACCAGCAACCCAATACATTACAAAGGCCTTCAGTAGCTTCTCTTCATCTAGCAGGGCAACCACGTCAACCTACACCATCACAACATCAGGCTCACTAGATCCATGCCAGCAACCAACGAAGCTTTCGGCCAAATCACTTAGTGGTCCCTCCTCTGTTGGACCCATGCAACCTTGAATGTACCTGCAACAAACGAAGAGGAAAAACATATTCTTTGGGGCCATACAAAGATATCCAGCGATGCATTGCAAAACAAAAAAAAAAAAAGATCCAGCAAGGCATGCATAACATAAAGATGATAAGCAGTGAAGGGGGCAATATATTATAGGGATTCATCATCAGAAAAGGGGGAAGCTGGTAAAGGGAAGGATATAGAAGAATTGGAAGGGTGGCTTTTTCTCGGATATTTGAAAAAATAAAATAAAATAAAAAATAGAGTGTTTTCTTCTCCCATTTTCAGGAATCAAGCAATGTAACGAGGTATTCATTTTTCCAAATCAAACGAAAAAACGAAAGAAATTAATAGATAAGACCTTGGCAATTTCAGAAGGTATATATATATTTTTATTCATTTTCGATTTCCATGTATGTATTGTGTGTTTCTTTTTCTAAATAGACTGAAATAACATAGAGATAAATAGGGGTTGAGTGTTTACCTTAGTGGTGCGGGCTCTCGATGGCATTCATGGGCAGAAGGAGGAAGGAGTTGGTTTGAGTTGAAGCTGTTCTTAGGGTCTAGATAAGAGTAAAATAACTTTGGCGGTCTTCGTCAGTTATGGTCGGAGCAGAAGCGGCGTCGACTTACGGTGGCCCTGGCTCTTTTGGGTTTCAGTTTTCAGTCGAGTTAGGTAGTTGATGGAGGGTTTAGATATTTAAATAGGGGTGTTTAGTTGCATTTAAGGTTTTTGGGGTTAAAAAAGGTTCAGTAAGGAGCCCGACCACCGTTGGTGGTGGTCGGATTTCAGTTTAAGCCAATTTGCGGCTTAGGGGAGTTATTTGGGTCTCAAGTGAGCTTCGGTTGAGGGAAGTAATTGAAGCATCTCGGTTCGTTTAGGGTGGCCTAGGTTTTCACTGTTTGGTTTAGAGGATGACTGGAGCGAAATGGCTACCGAGGTACGGTGGCCGGCGTTGGTTTTGCTGGCTTTTGAAGTCTCAGTCGTGCGTGAGAATGAGAGGGAGAGAGTGGAGAGGGAGATGATTAGGCGGCTGTGTGTTTAGGTTTAGGTTTAGTTTAAAATTAGGTTTTATATTACAACTTTAGGAAAATTAATGTTTAACCCGCATAGCTTTAGGGTAATTTGCTCTAGTATCCCTATACTTTAGCTGCTTATTTACACTTTAGTCCTTGGTAAGGACTGAATTCGAATGCAACCTTTTGTATGTGTCTAAATTTAGTTATTTTACAAATTTAGATTTTAGTTTTAATTTTTTGGGTTATTTAGATATAGGTCATCATATTTTTCTTTTTAATTCATTTAGGTCATCAAATCAAGGTTTATGTGTTTACAATTTTGTCTTTTTATTTTATGTGCATTTAATTTCAGTCCCAAATGTTATTTTATTTTATTTTTGTTATTTTAGACATTAGAACTCTAAAGTTTTGCATGTTACTTTTCAGTCCTATGTATGTTTAGGGTTTTATTCTGATTTCAGTCCTTGTAATAATGAGGGTTTTTATTTAAGTGTTAAAATCTTGTGTGGTATAATGTGTGCATTTCTACCTCATTTATTATTTGTTTTGTTTTTATAGTACCAAAGTTTTTGTTCAATATTATTTAGTCCATATTTTTAATAAGTATAATTTTTTATGCATATTTTGAGATGTTGTGTTTTGTGTGTTTGTATTTAAGTTACATTTATGCGTTACATGTTAATATATATATAGCTTGTAATTTATAGTTACAAAATATATGTATATAATTTTTTGGTTATAAATTGTGACATTTTTATAGTATTATGTCTCACTAAGTAAATACTTAACGTGTGTTGATTTCACGCGTAGGGAACAATCAAGGTTTTGTCGAGTAAGGAGTGCAACAGTAACAACTTTCATCATTTAATGGTTGACTCGTTAGTAACATTGGGACAATCTTATTCATTTTGAAAACTTAGTTGGCATGTAATTGAACTATAATAAATATTTTTATAATGTATTTAAAGTGATAGTTTTAGTATTTTGCTTCTATGAATATCATACTTTGTGGTTGCTAAAGTTGAAATAAAATTTTACAGGTTTTCAAATGACAAACTGTTTTAAAAAGTAATGTGACCTTTGTATCTCGTGTACGGAAAGATATACGAGATATGGGTCTTACACTACTACAATTTAACCAGCCTAATATGAATGCCAAATTTCGAAATGACCTCACTTTCTTTAAGCAATTGGAAGATGAATGCTTATATGAGGAATGAGAAAGATTCAGGGATTTGACATGGAAATGTTAGATGCATGGATTTCCACATTGGACTTAAATGACACTCATATGGTAGTCGATGCTTCAGCAAACAGAGCTTTAGTAGATAAAACATATAATGAAGTATACAATATTTTGGAAAGAATATCAACCAATGATTTCCAAAACCCAAATACGAGGAACATATTTGGTCGATGCAATGTTAAAACAGTAGATTCTGAAGCTTTTAACTCTATGGCATCTCAAATTTCAGTATTGACAAATATGGTGAATAAGTTGAAAAAACAGGGTGAATGTACGATGTAAGGGCTACATCTATCATCACTTGTGTTTATTTTGGAGATAATCACAACTTTGATGAATGCCCCCAAAATCCTAAGTCTGCCTTCTGTGTGTGAAATTATCAAAGAAATGATATTGATTTTGGCAACACATACAATACCAACTTTCAGAACCATCCAAATCTATCATACAAAACTCATAATGTTGCTAATCCAAAACAACAATATTATCAGACACAACATTACAATCAACAGTAGTCAATGTTACAGCCGGAAGGACATTATCTAGCTACACAGTCGCAACAAAGGCAAACTTATCAAGGACAATCTTCAACGTAAACTTTCACTCTATCATCTCTTGAAGCCTTAATGAAATAATATATGTCTAGTTAATCAGCATCATTAAGGGATTTAGAGAATCAAGTGAGAAAATGGTAACTACTTTATAAAATTAATTGAAAGGTACACTGCCCAATGATACTAAAAACCCCAAATAATAAGGAAAAGTGCATTGTAAGGCCATTACTACAAGGTGTGAAATTCATATTGGGAATCCTATAGAAGAACTGAAAAAGAATGATGAGGAGGTTACCAAGAATGGAAAGGGAAAAAGAAACAGATAGAGGCACTTATGTTTTATGCCATAGCAAGAGATGCATGATAGTGTAGTAGTTCAGAACCATTGCCGATAGCTGTACTTGCATCACTTGACGTTCTTCCAACTTCAATGTCGGGATAACCATAATCAAGGGTGCCTCTACCATTCCCTCAACAATTCAAGAAGACAAACCAAGATTAGCAATATAGAGTTCCATTGATGTACTTTGACAACTAACAATCAACATTTAGTTAATTGAGTCATTAGAGTAAAACCCAAACTACATTAAATTCATGAGGCAAATCCTTTCAAAGAAAATGAGACTTGGAGAATTAGAAACTGTCGCTCTCGCTAAAGGATGTAATACTATGGCTACAAGCCTATTTCCACCAAAAGCTTAAAGATCTAGGTAGTTTTTCTATTCCTTGCAATATTGGTGATAAATTTATAGGTAAAGCTTTATGTTATTTGGGAGTTAGCATTAGTCTAATGCCATTGTCAATTTTTAGGAAATTTGGGTGCGGCGAAGCTAGAGCAACCACTATCACATTGCAACTAGATGGTCGATCTACCGTGCATCATAGTAAAATCATGGAAAATGTTCTTTTGAGAGGAGACAAGTTCATTTTTCCTACCGACTTCATCATTTTAGATTGCGAAGTTGACAAAGATGTTTATATCATTCTTGGCTACCCATTTCTTGCTACCAATTGTGCTTTAATTGATGTCAAATAGGGAGAACATACCATGAGCTTGAATGATGATCATATTAATTTTAATTTCTTAAATAATGTTTTTTATATGAGTGATAATATTTAATGCTACTAACTTGATGTTATTGATATCTTCATGAAGGAGCATTGGGAAGAATATTGCAGCACAAATATTGGAACTAGTGATGTTGTGGTAATTGAAGAGTTACATGAAGAAAAGGAAGATGAATATTATGGTAATTACATGTAGCATATTGAAGCTTTAGAAATGCCTAACAACGCTATCCATGTTTCAAATCCATCTATTGAGGCGGTGATAACTCCATAAAAAGATTATGTTTTCTGTCTTTTTACTTAAGTTATTGTGTGTCTAAAAGTCGTTGTCATAGCATTTTAGTTGCATTTAGGTCATTTTTGCATATGGTGGATAAGTTTTACCAAGACAAGATTTATTTGGCTTAATTGATGCTGCTGAGGATGAATGTTCTTTGTTGGCTGTGTTGATGTAGGAAATAACTAAGGAATAATTTATTTGTCGAGGCAAAATAATTTCCCAAGGCTAAAGGAACATAAGAAGACGACAATGAGGAACCTATTTTTCTTGTCGAGGCAAGATTTATCTTGCAGATCCTACGTGGCTCAACAACTACTGACTTCATTTATCCAGCTTCATCCTCACGTGCAATCATGCCCTCTTCAAGGAAATTAACCACTTCTATATCATTTATAAAATGGGTAAGTTAACGAGGGTATTTAGGGAATTTCCAAGGACACAAAACCCTTGAAATTTCCACTATAAATACCTCATTATAGCTCTCTAAAAAGGACGACAATCGAGGAGAGGATATACCTAGGCTTGGAGTAAGCGGTTGCGACACCTTATTTTCCACCGTTCCTCCACTTAACCGTCCTTTGTGCCCTCCATAGCCAAACTTTATCGGAGTAGCAGTCAGGACCTCGAGAGAGGCTGGCCACTGAAGCAGGCACGGTGGTGGTCAGAATATCATGACAGAGCTCTGTTTGGGAGTGTTTATTCCTTTGTTCTTAATTTTCATTTCTCTTAAAGGGCTTGAACTGAATGTTTAACTTTGGATGATATTTTTCGCACCATGAACTGTTTTACTTGGTGTTGGTTATTTTTTTGATGAAACGTTAGTTGTTTGTTAATGAATGATGAAATTTGCTTACACTTAATGTTGTTTTGTTCATTGTTTTAATATTTTACCTTGACACTGTAAGAACTTTTGAGAGATTGCATGTGCCTCGGTAAAACATTCCTAGACTTTGTAAGAGCTTTCGAGAGATTGCCATTTTTAGGAATAGTTGCCTAATATCGATAGAGTTAGGGTAGATCTATATGAGAACGGAACTAACCCGGGATGGTGAGGTTCTAATCCACCTTAGAGATAAGGAGAGGGTTTTATCGACTAAAAGGAGTAGCTACTTGAGTATGATAGGAAATGATATAAGGCGAATCTACACGCTTTGATGGAGTGAGTAGATAGCCTTATTGTGTCCCGATCTAGGATTGACAAGTAATGATGTCCTTGAATTATAAGTTTGGGCTGCAATAAAGATAAGAAAGAAATATGAATATTGTTTGAATAATAAATGGAATAATAAGATAAATAATGAAATGAAAGAAAAGGAATAGAGATGGCTGCGGAATTGATGGTCTTGATGGATGATGTTGATGGTGTTGATAATGAAATGGAAATGGTGGTAATGTTGTATCTCAAACACGCCAAAGAGGAAACTATTATATGAAGCACAATCCCGATCTTCACAAACTTGCTTGAGGGGGTGGTGGTAGTGTCTTCAACCCACTAGATATAAATCTAGGAATTTAGGAATCAAGATGGAAGGTATGACACCACGAGTATATGAATTATACTTGCTTAATCGATAAAGTTCACAAAGAACTTTGAAGAGAAATTAACTCACAAGAGTATGTTTAATATATGAGAAGAGATGATGATAAATGAAGGCAAGCCTCTCAATTTATAGGAAATGAGAGGGCTTGGCCGAATGATTACATAGGGATTTGGCTGGTACATGTCTCTTAATGAAAGTACATAATTAATTGAATAAGAGATATGTCCATTAAGCTTGGTGTTGGTTTGGCTAACCCTTCATGACGGGCCTTGATGTTTTGGTCAAAGGGTGGGGAGATATCTCCCTTGGCCGAATATGCATGTGCCTCCTCAATTTGGCGCAAAAGCTCTCATGTGTAAGGCATGTGGTGTGGTCGAATAGGCATAGAGCTTTGTCTCATATCCCTTGGTGATTTAAGCCTCCAATGGATACAATCTCTTCACCAAATTGCTCCTTGATGAAAGGGCATCTTCATGGGCAGCAGCATTCATGAAAGGTCACAAGGTTTGGAAAGGTAACCTTTCATGTTTGAGCTAGTTCGGAGGTGAATGAACTGGAGGTGGGCTGGCCATAGATGAGTTGTAGCATGGTGAACATTATGAATGCTCCTTGTGAAAAGGTACCTCTTGAGGGGGCAACTATTCGCGAAAAGGTACGATTTTATAAAGTTTGACTTAGGACATAATTGAAGTGTCCTGAGTGGTGATGATGATGGTGCAGCTCCCTAGTTGAAATTAGGTCATCTTGCAGCTCAAATATTCAACTCAATCCAGCTATGAGCTCACGGGTCTCCGGACAACTTCTCACCAATGGTTCCTTATGCTCTCCTAAACATCCCTAGGTAAGTTTCCTTGATGTTACATGCTCCATTTAGCTCCAATGTAGCTCCCAAGTTGTGGCCGAATATACCTACACACATAACATAAGGAATTAAGTTAAGTATATGAATTATTATAAAGTAATAAGATTGTGCATATTATAAAGATGTGAACTATAGGTTATAATAATAACTCATGCATTATATGATAATGAATGAATATGATTATTATAATTATAGATTATATGCATGAATATCAATCAATGATGCAAACCATAGGACATAATGAATGAATGCACATGCTATGATAATTCAAGTATAGTCGAATATGAAAATGTATGCTCATAATAATATATAGTGCATAAATGAGTAAATAATATAAAGTATGGTATAAATCCCTTATATTGAGCTTGATGGATCTTCAATGATGTGAGTATGTCATGAAGAAAGTTGGTGCTAGACAGGATCACATCATCATCCCCTTCTTTTGGTCGATTTGTCCTCAAATCGAAAGGTGACTTCTCCAAATTGTGCGCCAATTCAATCGTTGCTGGGTTGAATCAAGATCATATCTCTTGGTACCTCAAAAGACATTGTTTGGTTCTTCAAAAGTCATGTCCATTGACTTATGAAAATTATAGCTTTTGGCACTTGAAAAGATAATTCTCTTAAGCTTCCATGGATCACGCCTCTTGGTTCCTCCATTTGACCAATTGCGTCATTTGTAATATCTCTTTGATCCGAAACATCATGTTCTTT